GAATCCAGAAGCTGGCTGCTCCAACGGCCAGTATGGCCCACAGTCTGGCACAGAGCCCAGAGCCCACAGTCTAGCAAGTGCGAACTTTTGGCGCTTTTGCTTTCGGGCCCAGAAAAGTAAGGATTTGGAGAGCTCAGGTTCCACACCTTCGGTGGTCCCAGGCGCCGCCCCTGCCTTCGCCAGAGCAGGGGTCGGCGGATATATATATATAACTGTTACAGACAAAACCAGCCTAGCTTTCACCTTGCTCTCGGTCTCCGTATACAAGGCAGTTTTTCACACATTCTGTCTTTCGCCACCTCCAGAATATCCAAAAATGTCAACCTATATAATCGAAAGGTACCCAGCGAGATAATAGGCTAGACTTGGCCGACCAAGCAGATCCCACCAATCCAATGACCTCGGTGTACGATGACCTTGTGACTGGTTGAGTTGACGCTGCTCACAACTCGACGACCCGATGAATCATGTGTTTATTCCATCAGCCCACTGGATTTACGTGAAGACACCCTCAGCAAGCCCACACACACTTTATGCACTGATTCATGATGCTGACCGTTGACCCCTTTTCAATCATCATCACCGCTTTTTGCCACGACATAAAATATGAGAGTTTCGTGGACACACATACACTCCGAGTCACTAACGAAGTCGAACACCACCTGCTTGGTATTCGGATGGTGTCCATCCGGACACCCGACCGCAACGTCAACCGGGTGGACAGAGAGGGCGACCTGCATGCGAAACGAGACCTGGCATGACCTGTCGTTCCGCCAGGCATGTGTGAACGCGGCAACACCGTGGCCGATGCTGCACTGGTAGAGCTACCCTGTCAGAACTGAAGCGTATAACTTATGACCTAGAGGTCCAAAGACTGTTACTGTATTGGTACCACCCAGCACCCTCCAACAGGTCACCAATAGACCTCTTAGGGTCTAAAACCCTCCGGTTGGAGACCTGTTGGAGAGTGCTGGACCATTACATATTGATTAATACAAGGGAACGTCCTAGACTCCCAGACTCGGATCACCTTAAGACGATCTTAAGAACATATATTATATGATCTTGGTTTTGGACTCCTACACAATCTCTTTTTGGAAATATCGAAGTAGGTGGTCCTTTGAAACCTTTCGAGGGCTCCAATGTCCATGCAAGTCACTGCTATTGTGTGTGTGAAGAAACAGATCACAAACACCGTACGTTGATGTTGCTCAACCTTGAATTCTCACCTTTTCTCCACTCTTTATAGGCGCACCGCGCACCCATGGGTTCATCATGGTTGATCAATCTCATCGCTTTGGAACAAAAGGCTGACTGCGCCGCTAGCTGCTAGGCTGTGTCAAGTGGGACATACATCGCCCTTGTGCAAACCCAGGGTGGACACCATCAACCTTGCGCCCCAGGCTGCGTCCATGTCTCACGGTCCAAGAGCAAAACCGCGAAAACCGGTCCGTGTGATCAAAAGAGGTCACTGGTCAGCTTGACATGTCCACTGAGCGAGCTTCTCATTTTGCGGCAAGAGAGTAAGATGCCACACAGATGACTGTTACTAGACTCTTACAATCTGGGTGAGGAGTGATTTTGAGCCAAGTGCACCAAGTCTATCCAAGTCCTACGAATAGGATTTGGACACCTTTGGCCATGGCCTTGTCAAACATGGATGGCCTGCATGTGTTTCTAGTCGCCAAAGAGCAAGTGGGTTTCACCTCTGTGGCAACCATGCTAGGCACCTGACATATTATATGATTGGATTTCTGGGGTCTAGAGTTGACTTGGGGAACACATGAAAGGATCGGCCTATGTTCATCTGAGTTGATTTTCAGTTACTGTAGCCACTCCCAATGTATCAGAAACGACTGTCAGGAGTCCGTAGACCCAAAGCCGGTCCAGTTGAGTTCCCCATAGATTTCCTTTGAATTCGATTGGGCACCAAAGTGGGGTTTCGAACTCTGAGCACACGTACATGGGGCCAAGCATGGTGCCGGGGGCAAATGCGAGCTACATCGATTGGACACTTCAAAGGATTGGCTGTGTGCGCTGTGTCGCTTAATGAATCCTACCCGTGCACTCCCAATCTTACTGTCACTTTGTCTTCGGTGAACCTGGAGTCTTTACGGTACAAGGGTATATGAATGTCTTTCTTTGTATGGAAACGCATATCTTGACACTTGGTCGAAGCAGAGATAGCCCATTTGGCACCCACACCCCTGGCCGTCTGAGATAGCCGCACCCCACAGAGCAGATCTCCTCGTCCTTGAGGAAATTCACGGATGGAATTTCGGAGATCTGTTGATCGCACTTGAGGGCCCACAGGAAAGCGAAACCAAGCAACTCCAGCCTGGAACTGCCTCCATGGGAAACTGCGCCCACACCCCCGCATGACGAAATCTGCACTTCCCGGGACAGCAGACATCGATTTCAGTTGTTTTTGTGTTGGAGCACCCGTCCAAATAACAATTCACTGAACTCGTCCTTTTCTGTCCTGAAGCAATGGGTGATGGCTCGCTGGGACATCAGTTGGCGAGACTCCAGCCAACGAAGCGGTTGGTTGCTTCTTTGCTGTGCTTTTGGTTGTACCAAGCCCGTCCCTGGACTGGAGGCCCCCCCCCTGCGCTGCATTTGGGGTGTCCCCCACCCGGGTCGGAACCAGGGCTGGACGCCTCGAGAGCTGCCAGAGATGCCATGTCCATGGAGTGTCTCCCCTCCAAAACGCCCACAGCGACACAGCGACAGGGGGCTCGTCCCCCAAGTGATCTTTCACCGCCTTGAGGGGGACAACAACAGATCCACACATACCCAGACGCGACCCGTCCGGGACTGCCTGCCGATCAGTTGGGGTGGTTGACTGGGGGTCAATGTAGGCATATATGGCACACATGGAGTGTCTGGGATAGGGAAGGTTCACGATGGATCAACGTGTCTGCACCTGTTCGCTCGATGCGTACGGTCGATGGTACGTGCTCAGCGGGGGACAACCGAGACACGCATTCCCTTGGAATCTGCTGTTCGGCTCGCCAGCACACCACCGGCTCTATGACCAGCTTGTCCAAATTGTAAAGCAAATTAGATCAAGAGAGTTGGACTGAGAAAGAAAAGACATTCAATAATCACAGGAGCGCCGCATCTCAAGGTGAAGACACGAGCCGAGACAGAGAGCTTGTGTGTTCATTTCTCGTGGCCGTACCAGAGACAGAGCTGCCCCATGTCTTGCCACGAGGTGTTTGTACAGATTGGGATGTCTGACACACAACCAAGCAGGAGAAGGTGCCCCTGCACCCTGTTTCTTAGCTCCCTGCTTAGCTTGCCCCAATCACAATGATACCTCCCACTTCTGAACTGGTCCAGGTTTATGGTTTCCTTGTCATAGCAAGGCTGGCCAGAGCCAGCCAATGTTCTTCACTCCAATTTCAGCCCCAAACACCACGGGGGATCGAACCTCGCTCTCCACGTGCGTCTCCCCCCGTTTCGCTGTGCCGCGGCGGGTTCCTCCGCGTGGCGTGGAGCCGCCATGCATCCCTTGCGTCCGGGTGTCGTGTGCGGCGCTCGGTGTGAGGGAGGCGTGACCGAGCCGTGCAGAAATCACTCACCAAGAGGCATGAACCGGCGTGAACGGTGCAGAACGAGGAGTGGGTGAGGTAGAGGATCGAGTGAAGCGAGTGAGGGCTGAAGGAATTGAGTTCGGCCTTCTCAGCTTAGAGGATCGCCTTGCAAACACTGTCCCTAGGGCTCCTGGCCCATACCCTCAGGTTCGGTGGGCCCAGACCCCCTGCCACCCACCCCAACCATCTTCAAAACGGAGGAGCCCTAGGGTGTTGTCATACTTTGGAACAGGGCTTTTGGGTGTTTGGACGTGAATCCCTTCTTGCTCGGTGCTGGACGTGACCTCCAGACCCAGTGTTGTGGAGTTGGTTCCAGACTCGACCAGAAATAGGGCCTTGGTTTGCTCCCCGGGGGAAGATTGTGGTTGATTCCGTCTCATTTTCATCCATACCTAGGCAGACACAGAAGGACCTGGAGGCCGCGAACATGCTGCGGAGCCGCTTACAAGGTTCCGCTGGGAGTCCTTGATCTCCTTTGGGGGCTATGACATGGTATGATACATCATGACCCCAGGATTCCCACCACCATTGATTTATATGATTTAAACGGTTTTTATATACAACAAGTTTAAGTTTTACTTTGGATCTTACACCACAAAGCCGGGTCAAGCTGTTGTTAATTCTTGGAAGACTAGGGATGATACATCACATGACTCGCAGGATCTCAGCGAGGTATTCCAGTTGTCAGTCCGTACCGAAAAATTGCCTACCTTTTTTGAGGGGTCTATAGGCATGCAATGGCATGCATGCATGCATATTGCATACATGGATGGTTTGGGATAGTACCAAGAGTTCCCTCAATAGATTTCCAGACCATTGATGTATGGAACAGTCGCAGAATGTTGCAGATACATTCATGCATTTTTATGCCATTTTATATCATTCAAGAACCTAAAGTGCAAGTAACTCTTCCATCCACATGCATAACTCTTCCATCCACGGTCTGAGTGGTCCAGTTGTTTTCTTTGGGTCCCTTAAAGACCACAAAAAAAACATGGCCACCGAAGAATGGCCACCGAACCCCAGGCGGTTTTCACGGCATGTCACCCGGTCCGTCCAGGCTTCGGTGGGGTGGCGCCGGCGCATCTCCCGGGCCACGACATCATCAACTTCCTCCAGCAGGCGCGACCGGCGGGTCGGACCGGGTTCCGAGGTGAGACGAAGCTGAGGTGACCCAACATTTGTGAGAACTCCATGTTCAAGCACGGGGGTTCTGGTTCTCAAACGGATGGACTTTGTGCTACAGGTCTTATAAGGTGGAAGGTTACCATGAGTTTCCACATTGAAAGAGTGAGTTTCCAGCCTTCGAAGCCTTCTCACTGAAAACCCTCAGTTCCTTCCTGCAGGGATCATCTCATGGCTTCCCTCCAGGTGGCCACTGGAGGCAGCTCGGACCGGCCCCCCCAGTCGAATGCGGATGGCACTCGGACGGCGCGGACGGCAGGTTTGCAGGCTTGACGTAGGTCGCAGTTGGCTGCTGGAGACCGACGGGTTTTCAGGGACTTCCAGCAACAGGTGGTTTGGTGGACTCCAAAGATAGGGTATGAACAGGAAGGGACCTCGGCTTGACGACATGCCCTCCAAGAAGTATTGGCGTTTTCATTGGAAGACGTTGATTCCTGGCCTCTATAACCCAGACACTCCCTCCATGTATGTCGTATATGCCTGCCTTGACCCCCCCAAACCACCCCAACTGATCGGCAGTCCTATGGCAGTCCCATGGGTGTCTGGGTCAGGGTCTACCTTCATGTCCACTTCCTTTGTCCCTTTCAGTCTTTAAGGACTGTTTGGAACCTTTAAGCAGGCACACCTGACGCTGGTGCCATCCTTTGTCAGAACATCCACGACAAAGCCGCCCTGCCATCGATCAAAGCATTGTGACCAGTCCCTGATCCCTGATGGTGACTTGAGAGTTGAGTGTTTTGATGCATGTTTTGTAAGAAACTTTGGCAGCACCCAGCTGCCCTGCTGCCCAAATTCGGACCAACTCCATAAATCAACATATCAACATGGCTGGGCAGCCATTGGATCCTATAGGCATGTCCACCCCATTCGGATCTACATCCGATGCTGGGAATCCAGTGGACGACCGTTGTTACCATTGTCTTTAGGATCCGATGAATGTCCGGAATGTCCGTACTGTACCTAAGAATCGTCGAACTGGACTTCTCTATAGTTGATACCATGATGAGCCATGATGATACATGTATACTTCAATTCCGGTGGCCTCTTTGTTTTTTCCGACGTCCAAGGCGGCCGCACCGACGCCCAAGGCGTGAGGGACAGGGAATGGTCCGGACTGGGGGGAAGCCAAGCACGGGCGAATAGGGATCATGCGCTCCTGACCTGCCTCCGTGGGCCTCTCCGGGTTTCGTTGGGGGTGTAAACCATGGTCTAACCACGTGAGGATGGTTGGAGGGGCGGGATTGGGAGACCCTGGGCCCCTGGCATCCCTTGCCCCGCTGGGTAGACGGGTCGACGGGCCCTCCCGCTCCGTGGGCCTCTCCGGTCGGTCTCCCATCGACCGGCGTCCTAATACCGGACAGACCTCCCATCGGTGGCGGGGACGGGGGGGGTCACTCGAGTGGACATAGAGGTGAGGGAGGTTGATGTTGGACCGGAAGCGATCACTTCCATGTTTGATCATGATCATACACTGAACACTCACATGGTTTCGTGGAGTTCACCACCTGTTTTTAATGGATTTCATCGTCTTCCGAACTCGGGGCCATGCCATCCACTGCCACCATGTGAGTTCCAGGAAGCGAATCCGCTGACCCTGGAGCGGCCGAAAAGCGAAGCGAAGCGGAACAGGTACTGATCACTATGGCTGGAGGACCACCCTATGGAGCTCTGTTGAGCAAGTGCAAGTGTGAACTCAAACATGTTGAAAGGAATTCTCTTGATCCGATGGATATCATATTGAGACTTGGGTCAAATGAATGGTAGGTTCATGTTAGGCTCAGTTAGACCTATGCCTATGCCATTCATTGTTAGTCGTGCTCTTTTCTGAGAATGGACATGGGGTTGCGAAACATAGACATAAAGCCCCTTGAATCGATTTTGAGATCGAAGGGGAAGGTTTTAGGGTACTTATTTCAGGTACCCAGTACTGGTACCCGTCCTTGGAAAGTAGTAACACTTTCTAAAGTAGGTGTTTCAGAACCATTCAGCACCTGTTCCCCTTGGGCATCCCATGCCTTACTCGGGCACCACCCGGGCCCCCGGCACATCCATCGACTCTCGAGGTCGCCCCCATCGTCGTGCCCGCCGTGGTCGCGCCGACCACGGTGCCAGCGCCGCGTTCGGGGGGCCCAAAGCAGAAAGGAGCGCAGCATAGGGCGCTTCGGGGCGAAAAAGGGATTTTGGTTTTGGAGCCACAAATAGTCCACAGAATCAGAATTACTGATCATGGAGTGTCCATGGGTCTCGCCGAAACCGGGTCTCGACCGATCCGAACCCTTCGGACACCGGTGCACGACACCGATCTCGACCGTTTTGGGGTCGTCGTACTCGTGCGACCGAGGGGACGGCAAGCTGAGATCACAGCAACGCCGTTCTTGATGAATATACCAACCGGCCTGTTCGTGTCTATCAGTCGCCGAAAAGAGGATCAGTCAGACCCTGAGAGGTATTGGGCACAGAAGACCACATGGGTTGAGGAGTGATTTCCGGGTTGAGGAGTTCAATTCGCATGGGACAAGTTGTTGAACGTGCAGATGCGCGAGTCACTGCAAGTCTGCGTGTGTTTTCTTCAGCTGGGAGATTGGTAATGTCATGATTTGCTGTACTTCACTCGCTGCTTCCCAATTGTTGAGACCTTTCTTGCACCGGCTGACTTTGCTTACAATACAACATAATACAACCAATTTTGAACTAAACTATGGCCATGGCATGTATTGTATTGTATTGCTGGATGAACTACTACGGTCACTTTGGATGGTGATAGTGATCCGTGACCTCTAAGAACTTCAGCTGGGCTGCCCAGCTGCATCGTCAGGTGCGCCAGTGGCCCCACATGCGCACCCCGGTGGACATCATGCGCCGTGGCACGCAGCTCATGGCGTGGCGGAAGGAGCTGCAGCGGCGGTGTTTGGGAGGATTGGTGAGGACCTGGTGCGGAAGTTCCCCACCGGTGTGGGTGCTTTGGCATGTGTCCAATCATTTTTGTTGGACGTGTTTTCAGGTGGATATAGGCACACATGCCCACATCATCTCACACCCAAATGACGAAGCAAGACGAAAACATATTTACTGTCTGTGGAACAAGAGACGGTGAAACCACCGATAAACCGAGGCACTTTTTGGCTGAGAAAAGAGGTGTGTCCCTTTCGTTTTATGGTTTGAGGGTTATGAGCCCAAACCTACCCGCGTGTTAGCGCAATGGAGCGCTCGCATTCGCTTCCTCCACTGGGGGCGAATCCATTTTGGTCGGACCGACTGAAAGCAGAGGTGGCACTTCGCCTGAGCCGACCGGAGGATTTGCCGGTCCCACAGGACGATGGTGATGGCGACTGGGAGGCTGAGACTGAACTTGTGCCAGAAAAGAGCACAGGTGGCTTCGGGAAAGGACGCGGTGTGGCGTCTGGGTCTGGAGGGTCTGGCCGGATGTATGTCACCCCACCTAGTGCTCGCTGGACAGAAGGTCGCGGCCAGCCTCCAAAGAGCTATGGAGGCGGAAATGGTGCAGTTTTTGAGAGACCAAAATGAACTGTTGCTGGAAGAAGTTGAAAAGCTGAAGCAACAGGTTCATCGGAGCGGTCAAGCTCCATCCACTGCTCCGTCCTCTTGGGAGCAGGTTGAGGAACATGGTCCGAAGAAAGAGGACCAACCGTCGAGCACCGCAGGTTGTGAAACTGCTGGGCACTACAAGGGCATCCGCCAGGGAGAGACACCACAGACGCCTCGGGGAAGAAGTCCTACGACGAGGCGAACAACCAATGGCGTGAGGTGCACGCCCAATGGCACGCAGCTCCCTCCAGGGTCACCACCTCAGGATCTGCCGGAGCTGCCTCCGCCACCGTTTCCTCCGTGCGCCTTGGCGGATTCCAACATGTTTCAAGGTTATGATTTTGTAGAGTTCCGTCGTCGGCTCGGGGACGCGCAATGGGTCCCGGCAAGCATGCGAGAAGGGAAGGCCTTCAGTCCACATGATGGCCGTGATCCTGCGGCTCGAATGGAGCGAGAATTGGCCGAGCTCAAGGAGTCCGTCGCTCGCATGCAGGGATCAAAAGGACATGGAGGCTTGAGTAGCATCCCAAATGGCCCACCTCTGGATCTATTTTATGGTCATGACCTACGTGGGGTAGCATGTGGACCTCAAGGGGACGGTCATGGGTTGGGTCATGGTGTTCGGGGTCAAGCTGAAGTATGTCAACATGGTCCTGATAAAGTATTTCCTCCTGGTGGCAACCCTGTTTCGGGTCATGGGCCGATCGACGTGAAGTTGGGCCCGGAGTCCACGATGCGGGGTGGCGATGCGCCATATGGTCGATGGCGAAGTGAGATGCCACTCTCACCAACACCTGCTCCGTTGCCTTGGTCTGAAGGTGCCGGGGGGGGGAACAAAGAACTGGTTGAGTTAGCGGCTGATGCATCTCCCTTGGAACTGGGCGATTGGTTGGCTGTTTGTGGTCCTGTTTTGAGAGACATCTCATCGGTGTCATCAAGGTGGTGGAATTTGACCACAAGAGAAGCCCAGTGCTATTATGAGAGATGGAAAACATCTTCGCCCTTGGAGCGAGTTCAAATTGTGCCCAAGCTGCCTGATGAGTTGCTGGATCAATGTTACCAGAGGACAGAGCAGCGTGGTGTGAATTTGTTGTTGAAAGCCATCCCCGCAGATCAGCAGCAAGCTTTGATCACGGCCAGGGAGTTGACTTCGACTGCATTGCTGTTTCGCTTGTTGGTCAGGTACCAGCCCGGTGGTTCCGGGGAAAAGTCGATCCTGTTGGCCAAGCTGACATCGCTGGATAAGAGCTCAGGGACACCTGAACTGGCAGCGGCTTTGAGGTCTTGGAGAAGACACTATGCCCGTGCTCAGGAGATCGGGGCGATCTTGCCGGACGGGACTTTGTTGTTGAAGGCCCTTGAACCTGCCGTTGCTCAGATTGGTGCCTTGGATGCTCAAGCTGCCTTTCGTTTGGCCCAGAGCAGGTTGCAGTTGGGGATTGATCAACAGCCGCTACATGATGGTGTTTGGCGCTTCAGCCAATGTCTGCTCGCTGAGGCAGAAACATTGTGCCTCATGGCCTCGACTCCATCGACTACAACTCCATCGCCGGTGAAGGTGAAACAAATGGATGCGCATGGCAAGCCACCCAATGCCACTGGCAGCTCTGTGGATAAGGGGAAGGGCGCCTCATTGGCATCCACTCCTTGCAAGTATTTCCGGTCCGAGTCAGGGTGCAAAGCTGGCCGCAATTGCAACGCAATTGCAAATGGTCACACTCATGGGACGGCATTGAAGATAAGGCAGCTCGTTGCTGGATTTGCGGCGGCAAAGATCACCGCAAGACGGATTGCAAACTCAAAGCCCAAGGACAAGGCAAACCTGGTCCATCCAAAGAGGGCAAATCCCAGAGTGAGCCTGGCGGCTCAGGGGGAGGAAAGTCATCGCCCAAAATGTCCACGTCGCCTTCTACGTCATCCACTGGGGCGGGTGCTGGCAATTCAATCGCACCCAAGCTTCAAGAAATGGAAGGTCCAATGGAGGCTGCTTCTGAAGTCCCTGCACCAAGCGATGGAAGCAAAGGTGAAACGGGCACAACATCCAGCGAAGCTTTGCTCCAAGAGGCCACGAAGCTTCTCAAGTCTTTAAGGGCACCGCAGCTGAAGATGATCAAGATTAGCCAGCTGGACGTGGCTGCTGAAGGCATGATGGTGCTTTTGGATTCTGGTGCAACCCACGCTTTGAGGCCGGCTTTGACTGAAGGCGAATGGGCTGCGGCACAACCTACGCAAGTCACCTTGGCTGATGGGGTTACGACAAAACTTCGTCTGAAGGTGAACTCCAAGATCCTGGTGTCAGACCCGGCTGATGACACTATGAGCCAATCCTGGATCATTCCACTGGGAGGCATCACAGAGCTGGGCTACAGGTTTGAGTGGAAGGGGGCTAAATGCTCTCTGCGTGATGAGCAGGGCCAGGAGCTTGATGTTTGCATCCAACATGGCTGCCCGATGGTCACCCGTCAGTTGGGGCAGGAGATGATCGCTCGAATCGAACATCAACAAGTTCGATTGGTGCGGAAGGCCTTGTTGCTCAAGTCCATGCTGGCGGATCCATCAGCAGAGTCCTTGGAGGCGGTGAAGAACTCCACGGAAATGGCCCTCACCCTGAAGATGAAGATGATGTTTCCGGATCTTCCGGACGAGGTGTTGATGAAGGTCATCCCGGACCTCTCTTCGCTGAAGGGCAATGAAGGGCATCGAATCCCTTGGAACCGGCACAAACGTCGGCGGCTACAGCAGGCCAAAAGCATCGTCATCCATTTGTTCTCGGGGCCGGACCACCGTTTTTGGGAGAAGAAGCTTGCTGGCAGTGGCACTGAGGTCCTTTGTGTCGATCTTAGCGGCTATGTTCCAGCAGATTTGCATGATGATGCAGTCTTCCGCTTCTTGCTTTCTCTGGCTGCATCAGGAAGAGTCAAAGCATTGTTGGCTGGTCCACCTTGCCGCACTGTTTCGGCCTTGAGATATCAAGACGATGGCGGTCCCGGAGTTCTTCGAACTGAAGAGTATCCCTATGGGGTTCCAACGTTGACGGCCACCGAACAGAATCTGGTCACTGGTGATAGTGTACTCTGGTTCCGCATGTTGGCCTTGTACATGTTGTGCGAGGATGTTCGCCTGCCGGACGAGCCGCAGACCGCCTTGGCAATCGAGCAGCCCGAAGATCCTGCACGGTATCGACCGACTGAAGAAGTGAAGGTCAAGAAATTCATGTCGGTGTGGCGCACCAAAGAATGGCAATCGTTTGAGGCACACTTCAAGGTCCGGATGATCCACTTCGATCAAGGACCAATGGGCCACATCAAGAAAAAGCCTACTTCAATGGCTGTGGTGCTGCGCGACATCCATGCTTTGGATGGTGTACGAGGTCCACCAAGTGGAGACCCTCCTGATCCTCAAGGTCAAGATAGAGCCAACATGACGCTGAAGGAGCGCTGTGAAGACTCCAAGGGTTGGGCGGCATGGGCACCGGGCTTGAAAGTGGCACTGGTGCTAGCTGTGCAAGATCACCTCAACCGTCGAGTTACTCCTTCTTTGGAGGCGGCACTCCGCCCTGTCGGACAAGTGGCACTTGAGAGCTGGCGTCAGCATTACCTTAATGACCATATGCCAGCAAGAAGAGATTGTCGGGATTGTGTTCGCTCCTCTGCACGCAGCAAACCACATCGCAAGATCACACACCCTGAAGCCTACACGCTGAGCATCGACCTGTCGGGAAAAATGGTGATTGGCCAAGACCAGAACAGGCATGACTGCAGGTACATGATGATTGCTGTGTACACCTTCCCGGTGGATCGCTCTGGCCGCTCATTGGTTGAGTTTGCAGAGGCATCAAGTCACCAGGAAGATCCACCTTCCATCGACGCTGATGAGTACACTCCTACAGAACCTGGGGGTGATGACCCGGGGGAGGACCTTTTGATGGAGGGGGAACCTGGAGATGTAGAGGATCCGGGGGAGGCAGGACAAAGTGCAGCAGAGGCAGCAGGTGTGAAACATGGCCGTGCGGCAATGGAAGCATGGCAAAAGCAAATTGAAGAAGCTCAAGATGTTGCAGTCCGCAATGTCACCTTCGTTGAAGTACTTCCAGGACGGGCTGTGAATAACATTTTGGCTGCCTTGGCTCGCATCTACGCGAGGATTCGATCCTTGGGGCTGCCTTTGTATCGCATTCACTGCGATAGAGCTCGGGAGTTGATCTCAGCTCCAGTCCGCCGCTGGACCCTCGACAGAGGAATAGTCACCACTTTGACATCCGGTGACTCGTTCAAGGCCAACGGCAGAGTTGAAGGTGAACTTGGCGTCATCAAGAAGCATGTCAGGACGGTGGTTGCAACAACAGGTTTGGGGCTGGAATATTGGCCGCTTGCTGCAATCCACATCGGCGAACGCCGTCTCCGAGGCCAGCTTCGAAGCCTTGGAGTGCCGGTGGGACCCATGCTTCAGTTTGGTTCCAAAGCCTTTGCCCTGAAAAAGTCCTGGCAGGATCGTTACCAACCCTGGCGGGAGATCAGGGATGAGGTGACTGTTTTGGGGCCAGCAATTCATTCTTCGTTGACAAGCACCAGCTACTATGTGCAGTCAGTCGAAACCAAACGGTTCTTTTATACCGATGATGTTGTGGTCCCAATGGCTCATCAACCTGAAGCAGCAGAGGTCTGTGCCTATCTGCCGGAGCTTGACCGCCTTCCAGGAGCTCCTCAATGGGAAGGCAGCGTTCCAAAACGTCGCCTGTGGGATAAAACCGCAATTCCACAGCTGTCCATGTTGTACATGGAGGGGGAGACCAGCGCTCGCGTTCAAAATTGGCTTTGTGATCATCGTGATCTTTTTGATGTTCACGCGCCCAACGACCCCGAGTTGTTCCGCCAGGAGATTAGCAGCGACAGCTGGACGATTGAGACGCCTGAGAGGACATCCAGTGACCGTGAAAGGACACCAAGTGACGGATCTTCCCAAGGTGCAAAGGCTTCGCTGGAGGAGGAATCACTCGGAGGAGGGGAGTGGGAGGAGGCGCCTAACAACCAGGCTGGTGGCTCATACCTGGTGGCCTCATTGCAATGTCAAGCACCTGGGAGAGCTCCGATCACGAGGGTCCAATTCATTCGGTCCATGCAGGCGAACCTGGCGGACTACGTGGTGGATGAGTTGAAGCATGTGGACATCACAAGTCCTGACCAAGGGTGCTGTCTTGAAGCATTAGCCAGTGCAATCATCCAAAAGGTTGAGGCGGAGGAAAATCTTCTTCAACACCAAAATGATAGCGAAGCTCTACACCAACAGGAGCTGGAAGAAGAGTTCTTGGTGACACGAACGATCAGCACCAAAGAGGTCATGGATGATTTTGAAAACTGGATCCCTCCGATCACAGCGGAGTATGATCAGCTCGTGAGAAACAAGGAAGCGGTGGAACAGATCACCAAGCTGAACCTCCAAAAACGAGCTGAGAAAGAAGGTAAAGTGATTGAATTGCTCCCTGCAAAAATGGTCTACACCCGCAAGTCAGGAGCTGGCAATCGAAGAGCTCGTGCAGTTGTTTGCGGGAACTATTCAGAGTCAAGGTTCAATGCAGACTGCTATGCAGGTGGAGCTGACGGCTGTCAAGTGAGGGCGGTGATCCGAACAGCTGCCTTGAAGGGCTGGTCAGTTGCTGCTACGGACATCAGGGTAGCCTTTTTGAATGCCCCTCGAAGAGAAGATGGGAAACTGGTCGCCATGGAGATCCCTTCAGTTTACAAGCGGCTTGGCTTGGCAGCAGAAGGGGAGGTTTGGTTAGTTCGCCTGGCCATGTATGGCTTGACGACGTCCCCCAAGGACTGGTCGAGGCACAGGGACCAGACCTTGCCATCGATGAGCTGGGTGAGAGTGCGAAATGATCGCAAAGTCCGTGGACACTTCCACAAAACCACGGACGAAAATCTATGGCGGCTGGAAGAAGTGGACCTCGAGACAGGTGAACGTCACTGGACTGGCCTCATGTCCGTGTATGTGGACGACATCCTCCTGACCGGAGAAGAAGCAGCATTGAGTGCGGGCCTCACCTCCTTGCAAGCAACTTGGACTACATCCAGTGTCGAATGGGCTTCAGCACAAACGCCGGTGCATTTCTGTGGGTTTGAAATCATGGCCGATGGAGCTGGAGATGGTTTTCATTTGTCTCAACGTCAATATGAGCAAGAAATCCTCACCCGCTGGAATGTGAATGAGGCGGTGCAATTCCCTCGCTTCAAGATCAGTGAGGAAGACTATGAGGTGCAGGCTGAATGTGACCGCCGCCAGATTCGTGAAGCGCAGGCTTTGGCTGGATCATTGCTCTGGCTGTCAACAAGGTCAAGGCCGGATTTGGCCTATGGTGTGGCGGCTCTCAGCCGTCTGATGACAAAGAATCCTAGAAGGGCCATTGAAATCGGCCACAACCTCCTTGCTTATGTCAAAGGCAACCCTGGTGACATGCACTATCCCAGGGAGATCCACCAAAAATGGGGCGCCAGAAGCCAATTGGAAGTTCAGCGGCATGACAAGCTCATCGAGGTCTTCGCTGACATAGCTTATGGTGCTGGATCGAATCACCGCAGCATCCAAGGACTGGTGATCTACTTTGCTGGCGTTCCAGTGGCTTGGCAGAGCTCGACCCAACCGTTTGTGACTCACAGCACTGCGGAATCAGAGCTTGTTTCGTATTGTGAAGCCCTCACGGCTGGCAGATCGATTGAGGCTTTGATGTGTGCTATGTGGGGGGAGGACCTCACTTCATCCAATTCGTTTGAGCGGGTGATTTATGGAGATAATGTTGCTGCAATTGGCCTTGCCTATGGCAATAGCAGTTCATCATGGCGGACACGCCACCTTCGAGTCAGAGCAAACATCCTCCGTGAAGCCCTTGAAGATCAGGTGGAGTTTCCTGGAGGCAAGTGGCAGCTCAGCCACTTGAAAGGCACCGAATTGGTGGCTGACGGCATGACAAAGCCATTATCAGGCCAAAGTTTCTTTGGCTTTGTGGCGGATCTGGGCCTACAAAATGAACCGGCCCAGGTGAAACGAATCGCGATGGGTGATCGACTCCTTCAAGTACAAGATCGGGCCATAGCGCTGCAGATGTTAGTAGTGGGGGGAGCGATCATCCAGGCCACTCAGGCTGCCAATGCAACAGAAAAGAAAGAAGAGTATGAATCGGACCTCCCTCTAGATGCGGTCTGGATGTGCGGCTTAATCCTGATTTTGATTGGGGCAATCTGGGTGGGGAAGACAGCACTGAGTTCCATTGGGTGCTGTCTCAAAAGATTGCATGGTGTCATCGGGCTGCCGCAGCCACTTCGTATGGAGGAGGAGGAGGAGGAAGAAGAAAGTGAGAAAGAGGGTCCGACAATGAAGCAGCAGGCCAGTGAAGAAGAAGAAGGGGCTACATCCAGAACGAGCTCTACTTCAGAACCTACCTGGCGACAGTCGGGCTCGCACTCGCGTCATCGGGCTTCAGCGCACCGCCTGAGGTCCGGATCAAACGATTCAAGGACCGTGGCAGCCGGCGAGGCTGCTGGTGCTGCTGCCGATGCGGCGAAGAGGGCATACAGGGCTGCTGAAGCTGCCAACTGTGCTGCGGCAAGCGCAGAGAAAGCAGCGCTGATCATACAGCAGCTGAAGGAAGGGCCATCAGAAGCCGCATCATCCGATGCTACATGGTCAAGGACGGCATCAAGGCCTGTGCAACCCCAAGGCCCGCAACCGTCGAATCCATGGAACAAATTCCAGCGCGAAAACGCTGGCAAGAATTGGGGCACAGAGAAGATGAGAGCTGAATATTTTAAAGCCAAGAGTACATACAAGGTGCCTTGAGCTGGGCTCGCTTTTGACCCCATCCACGATCGCCATACTGGCGAGGGGGAGTCTGTGGAACAAGAGACGGTGAAACCACCGATAAACCGAGGCACTTTTTGGCTGAGAAAAGGTGTGTCCCTTTCGTTTTATGGTTTGAGACTGTAAATAAGTTATGGACACAATTTTGATGGGAATACTACATGGCAATTCTCTTTTCAAGGTTATTGGACCTGGGTCCCACAGTTACACAATCAGACAAGAGGAGTTCATCCATAGCCCAAGTCAAACCATGCCCACATGGCCAGCTGGCATATCTCACCTTGTTCTTGTTTGTCCACAATGTTGTGCTTGTTACTTGTTGCATTTGTGGTTCTTTCGAAGCTGCCCAAAGGTTTATTGGCAGGACATTGAGCTACACAGCCGACATCTAGACTCGGGCGCTTGCGTCGATTCGCTGGGTGAACATAGGCTGCAGGGCTACCGAGTGTCCTCGTGTCTCAAACTGGCCGCGCAGGTTTCGCTGCCACGCCGACACCCTCGCCTGCCTCGCCGCCTGCGCCGACAGCGCCAGGGCCTACCTTTAGCAAGGCACCGGCGACGGGGTGGGCCAGATCGAGATGCTGTGTGATTGGCACTTTTCGCTAAATGTTTGATCCAGGAGATTAACATGGATGAAGCAATCCCTGCCCTGAGGATTGTGAGGATCTGGTCGAGATTCCCCTTTTGAACCAGCCAGTACGTGTCCCGTTTTGGCGGTGCCCGTCGTTGGTTTCGCAGGTTTTGCACTGGTGCAGGATGGACTGGTGAAGAGTAGGTCGTGACGAAGTCTGGAGAAACGTGTAGTCCCATAGCGTTGCTGATGAGGAACTGCCTAATTTGTGAGAAGGGCATCTGGAACAAGCATGAGTGAGCAATGACCAGTCCAGTCTAGTAGTTTGGTTTTTTTTGCTACAGGGATGTAGCATGACTGACTTGCCCCTGATTTATTAAATGATTGCCTGAATCGCAGTGTTTTACACACCCGCACGCTCCATGTATGTTTCCCTACAATGACCTCTTTTCAACCACCCCAACTGATCAGTAAAATGTGCCAATCCCATGGAGTGTTTGACGATGTTTGACATATGGGCATGAAAGAGCAGCACTGCTGCAGTGGCACCCATTTCCATCTTTTGCACCATCTAAGATTGGTGCTTTATCAGGGCCAAAGTACTTGGGGCCTCCTGAGTGGCTTCAGCTTCAGACTCGGCAGGGCGGCAGAGCAAGCCAATGTCATCCAATGGAAGTCCTCAAGTCAGTGGTAGTCTCCGGTCATTGGTGGATGATCCATTATGGCAACCAATCCTTCTGCCCCGTCAGAGTGCAAAAGAAGTCACTAGCAGCTAGCAGGGCCCCCTGCTGGACGAAATCGGCTAGAATCCTGGGTGGGGGCGGCACCAAATCTAAACCTTGTCAGGGACAGACCATCACTCTTCTCTCGTCACCCAGTGATTTGACATGGACAGCCCAATCTAGACGGATTTTGGCACTCCTTCACCACCTAGTACATCAGAATACATCAGACGTCATGACTTGAAAAACATCACATCCCAAAAACCCGATACACACCTGCCGTATTTCGCCGTCGCGCCCACTTCGGTGCTGCCGTTGAGTGCGGACCCGGCCAGGCCACACCGGTGCCGCCGCCGAAGACTCTCACCGACGAGCGTGAACGCTCGTCCTCGACCCGTGCAAGCGCCACGGACGAGGCGGTAGCCGAGCATGTTTTCACGTGATGAACGAGACCTGGGGGGGCGAAGCCGGGCGAAGCCAAAGGGGAAGATGAAGATGATGAAGGGGAATGTCTTTGCTTCTGCTTTTGCTTTTGCTTCTTCTTCTTCTTCTTTATGCATTATTATGCCTTCAATATGCCATCATATGAAGTGTAAGTATGGGAGTATGCCAGTATGCTGCACTTTCCTGTTCTGCCTGGGAAGAGAAGACGAAACGAAGGAGGTCGTAACCCCTGGGGTTCCCTCCGTGGACCCAAATTCGGTTTGGCCAGTGGAGCCGAAATGCATCACGCAAGGATGGGAGAGCCGTGGCCAAACCAGCCGCGCTTTGAATGATCCAAGAAATCGAGAGCGAAACACCCCACTCAGGTCTGAATTGACCCTCTCTACAACATTCTACTGGAGAAGCGGGGATAGTACAAAGCAAAGCGGGCCAGACAATCATCAATAGCTATAGTGGTTTCAGAGTAGATGGCACTGGCACCCCTACATGTCTTGTCGATGGGTGTGTATATATATATATATATAAATTCAAGGTAGGCAGGGTTGGTGACGTGGGTCACAGTGGCAGGGCCACTTGAACCCAAGCACTCTAGAGCGAATATTCCGACCATCCTTCGGAGAAGAGCGCTGCTGTCTCAATCAGTCGAACTAAATGTTCAATTAACATCAATTAACATTATTAACTAAATGTTCAACCGGTCGAACAACCACAATAGTACAAATTAATGTCGCCGAATAATACAATAGTGGTCGAACACTGCATTTTACATTAAACCACCCAACTTGGGGTCAGTACACAGGCAGGACAGCTCAGATGAAGCTCACAGAAACGAAGGACCACTTGTGCCATTTCTCACCTCTGAAACCACTGTACAGAACCACCAAGATACACCCCAGTAGAGCGAGCCTTGTGACGCAAATTGCGGCTCCCGGGGGTTCGGTTTGGTTTTCTTCGAACACGTACGGGCGCCCCAGACACGACCTATGGGACTGCCATATATGCCAGCCCATTGGGATGGTTAATGTAGGTATATATGGACTGCGCAGGTCCATGTCGGGGAACTTGGATCAAAAGGGCCCTTGCCCGCTCGACCTCGTCCAGGACCTGGCGCAGGCGCTGTCCAGCCACCTGTAGGGCTGCCCGGTTTGACCGCGGACAATGCCTCGGAGTCACCCCGCGACGACTGGGGAGATGGACCGAGAAGAGGCCCAAAGGTGGTTGAACAAGCTAAGAGGGTGGTTGAACAAGTTAAACATCCTAGGTCTTCAATGCTGCATATTAAATACAATGGATGGTCAGGCATGTCAGGGTAATACTATACTAGTTAATACTAGTTATACTTTTCTATCTTTTCCGTTCCATTCTGTTCCCTTTTTTGAGCGGGAAATTCCAGGAGGTGACCTGTAAACGTTCAGAGTTGCAGGTGTCAACATGGTCCTGGTATGTCCTGGTGACGTTTTCATCCACATCCGAGGCCACCGGCTGACTCTCCATATTGTGTTTACCTCCAAACAAATTCAAACAAAGGTCGACCCCCAATAGGGGTAGGAGCGTTCGGACGCTACGAACGGGGATCCTGGCCTTACTAGGAGCGTTCGGACGCTACGAACGGAGCATTTCGGGCATCGCTACTAGTAACAAGAAGCTCTTTGAAACAATTGAATTTAATTAGTAAAACTCCGGTGGGCGAACCCATTTCTTTAGCTTGGAACCCGCAAACCCCACTCGGTTCGCGCGTTCGCTATGGTGCGACCACTCGGATGAACCCCTGGCTTTGTTTTCCCACCGAGGCAGAACCCCTCAGGGGCACCCACTGCGGAACTGCTCCAGGCGAGTAGTTGCACTCCTGAGGGTGGCCTGGTTGGAGCAACAGCGGGGGCCAGCACATCTCAAAGAGAATTCCCAGCACCTCAAACACCACCATCGCTACTAGGAGCAAGGACGCTACTAGGGGCTTCTGGCCTTACTACTAGGAACAAGGACGCTACTAGGGGCTCCTGGCATCGCTACTAGGAGCAAGGACAACAGAGGTTCAAGAACCCGACTTAGACTATCCCAGTTCGTACCTCAGTTGGGTGCTAGTTCAGGTCATAACCTCTCTTGGCAAGTAAGGAAATTAGACATGGAACATCATGGAACAACACAAGAAATAACACCGACAACATACCTGGTGTTTTCTATATAAGAAAACGGTACGTATACAAGCACCACCCTGTCAGGCTGAGGCCCGTGAAATGGACCCTGGGGTGTGTAATTCCAACCTGCCACGGTTGGCACATTCCCAAACGCGGTTGGTGACTTTAAGGGTATTATATGTTTTAGTTGGATTTTTTGTGTGTGTTTAGTGGTTAGGTGGCTTTTGTGGCTTCTGGCTTTAGTGGCTTTTGGCTCCTGTGGCTTTTGTAGCTTCTGGCTTTGGTGGCTTTTGGCTTCTGTGGCTTCTGTGGCTTTTGTGGCTTCTGGCTTTGGTGGCTTTTGGCTTCTGTGGCTTCTGGCTTTGGTGGCTTTTGGCTTCTGTGGCTTTTGTAGCTTGTGGCTTTGGTGGCTTTTGGCTTCTGTGGCTTTTGTGGCTTCTGGCTTTGGTGGCTTTTGGCTTCTTTGGCTTTTGTGGCTTCTGGCTTTGGTGGCTTTTGGCTTCTGTGGCTTTTGTAGCTTCTGGCGTTGGTGGCTTTTGGCTTCTGTGGCTTTTGTGGCTTCTGGTTTTGGTTCATCAGGTAGCTCTCGCACTGCTGGCGCGAAACGTGTCTGGCCACATGCTTGAGCACGCCGATGCTGTCCTCCTCCGAGAAGCACGCCCAATGCCGCGTGTTGTGCCCTTGGATGTTCAATTGCTAAGTGATCTCAAGTCCAAAGACCTATGACCTATGACCACAAAGGTCATTGACCTGTATAGATTCTGGCCTAGACTAGTCGCCACCGCAAGCATCGCTTGAAGCCATGCGACGCGGTTCCGCCTGGCCGCAGTCTGTTTGTGGTAGAAGCAATCGAGGGACCAGGTGAAAATGAATACCCTCCTCATCCCTCCTATACAAAAACTTGCTCAAAAACATGTGCATGCCTCGCAGTCTCTCTGTGGAACATGGTAGAAACAATCTAGGGACCCGGTGAAAAAAAACATGCTACAAAAAGACATGCAAAAATGCGCGTGCCTGCCAATTACTACCCAACACCTGCAGGTGAATGGCCTTCGAGCCAGCCGCGTCAACTTCAGATGCACATGGCAAAAGGCCATCCCAGCATCGTGAAATCTGGCCTCTGCTTCAGGCCTGAGCATCTTCAGGTGATCTTCTTGCAAGTCCACACTCTGTGAACCTTTGGACAGCCCTTTTGTACGCATGTGCCGGTGTGTATGTGCATGTATGTGCGGCATGTGTGTCCAGCATCCTCCGCGGGACCATGCCAATTATTGTGTGGAACGCAAGCGTGATGCTGGAACACTAACGTGGGCCATGACTGCCTAGCGCCGACACGAGGGTTCCTGGGTCACGTGGTCCTTGCCTGGCCCTACGCCAGAGGGGTCTCAATAACCCGGCTGATCCGTTAGGGAACCCCTAAAGCGTATAACAGGCGGATTTGGTTGGGTGAGGATCATGCATGTCGATGTCTTTCAAATTTGGTTGAGCTGTTGTGGGCTCCACAATGGAAGCATCCACACCCTGACCGGGTTCCCCAATTGCTCATGGTGTTGGGTCACAATATCACCTGTGCCATGCACGCCCACCTCAACTCCTCCACTGCAACGAAGGGCCGATCCGACGTTTCCGGGCATGGTTTTCTGGAGATCCCAACCCTGAATCCCGGGCCTGTGAACCAAATTGTTGCTATAGGTCTTGTAGAGGTGCTTGACAAGTACCATCTGATCGATCGATTCCAGGTCCCCCCCCGCAATGTCTGACCCAGATGCACGCTTCCTCTTCAGGTCACTCATCATCTTGTAGCGCGGGATACCAGCTCGCTCGCACCACCCGGACGTACTTCCCACCATCAGCAAGTCGTTCCTTGTAGATCTCCTGTCCGGACATGCACTTGCAATCGATCGAACATATTCAAGGATCCTGTGATATATCTATCAGCTGGCTCAAATCCACCCTCAAAAGCTAGGCTGGTCAAATCCGCGCGCCGTGTGGACATGCGTAATCGACATTTTTGGGTGATGGGCCCGTGTCAACATAAATTGCGCAAAATGTGCCCGCGAAGATGATCCAACAGAGGTCCCCAAGATGACCCAATAGGCCCAAGATGGGCCACCGTAGGCCCAAGATAGGCTCAACGTATAGGCGCCCACGACGATGACGACGACGATGACGACGAGAATCAGCAACAACAACAACGACAACCAGTGGTGGGCGGCTGTCGGGCATCAGCCCTTAAATTAAGGCCAAATTAGCAGGGATTGAAATATAAAAAACTGCTCAATGCATAGCCTACAATCTCTTTCGAAGAGCACGCTTCATAGTGCTTCCTCCAGATCCCATCGCTGTCGAGTCCATCGAGCGACGACCGTGGTGAGGAAAAAAGGGATCATGCTTGTTTGTGTGGATGGATGTCTTTGGAATTTGGTTGAGCTGTTGTGGGGTCTCCACGATGGAAGTATCCACACCCTGACCAATCTGGTTTTGCTCAAGGTGTTGGACAACTTTCTGGGAGGATGGCTCTGTCCCCCACATACCTCCTGAGCGATCATTTTGGAGATCCATAGGGAGGGAGTCTCAGACTTTCGGGCTTTTACAGGTGCATACCCTGATATGTTGATAGATCTTGTATGTCACATGTGCCATGCACGCCCACCTGAACCCTTCACTGCGACGAAGGGCCGATCCGACGTTTGCGGGCATGGTTTTCTGATGATCCCAACCCTGAATCCCTGTGAGCCAAATTGTTGCTATATAATGGTCTACTTTAGAGGTGCTTATAGACAAGTAAAGTACGATCTTATTTACCAACGAACAAGTTTAACGAGTCCTTTGGTTCACAGGGTAGTAAAATCGCATAGAATCGCTATTTTGATCCCCGTTCCGATTTCCTAGGTGAAACGGGGTGTCTCAAGTCCACTACGTTGAGCGTTTTGATGTTTGAATATTTTGAACAAATTGAGGTTGAGGCGCCGCATTTTGTAGCAAGGACAATTTTGTAGCGCAAGGTCTTTAAGCTGAGAGATAGAATGATGTAGAGGTTGGGCCCCACCACTTTTGTAGTGCAGACTTGTCATGTGAAGATGATTATAGCCTATGTTGTGTACGCCCATAATGTAGTGCAAATTTCTGCAGCCATTTTGGTGACTTAAAATCGGGCTGGAAAACCAGATGGCCGACGAAGAACCACCTGGATGGCCAAAAACCCAAAAAGAATGCAAAGTCAAATCTTAGAGCGAGATGGATAGATCTCAACACGAAGAAACCAAAAGTTCGATGAACAAAAATATACCTTGTTTTTTGTCAATGGACATTTTTCAAGATTGAGCAGACCTCAAAACAGACCGAAGCGCCTGAACTTCAGAGGTTGGGTCCACATCAATATTTTGTATAGTCAAAAACATGGGCAATGTAGAGGTTGGGTCCCACCACTTCTGTAGTGCAGATTTATTTTTTCTTACATGATATCCTGTATGTTGGATCGAAACCTTTTGTAGAGAAGCAGATGTCGGGTCCTTTCAATATGTATTGCAATGCAGATTTGTGATGTTGGGTCCCCAGTTCTGTTGTACTACACAATGGGGGGCCCGACCCCACCACCCTAATTGGCAAGGGGATCTATTTTGTATTCTAATGCATTCTATTTTGAACCCTCTCTTTTGGGCTGCGCCCGAAGAAATCTCAAGATCTGTAAATCTCTAAACTGTGCTTTTGTGAGCGAATGTTATCGTGTCAGGACGTGGTCCGACCGGGTCCGACCTCAAAAGGTGCTCAAAGTGCTGCGCTGGTCAGCCAAAGTGAGGTTGTGGTCCGGCCGTGGTCCGAATCCAGCTGATACCGAACGCTCCAAAACCCCGTGCCTGTCAGCAAAACCAGCGTTTGGGAACCTAAAAGGTACTCAAAGTGCTGTACTGGTCAGCCAAAGTGAGGTTGTGGTCCGGCCGTGGTCCGGAAATTCCCTTAACTCACCAGGTCCGAGGTTCACACCTCGCGGTTAGCAAGGTTTGTGTGTGGAAATCTAATTGAAGTGAAGATTTAAACAGCCGAGAAGTCTGAAGATTGAAAAGTTTCTTGAGTTGCCAAACTTTGCGTTTGACGGCCTGTTTCTCTGATGATTGGCTACAACGGGGACTATGTTGAAGCATACCACTCACTGACCGGTGAGCATTTCTTCAAGGCTGGGTGTATGGTGAAGCTTGATTGAAACGTTGGATTGGATAGCTTTCAGGTTGAGGCTAAGCTTTATTATTGGAAAGGGGCTTTGACGAACAAAATCCTGAAGCACTTCGATGCGTGTGAAGGACTTGACCCGAGTTGCTCTTTGTTATTGGTGAACATGGCTATCACTTGTTTGTGGCCTTTGCGGAAGCACTGTTCATGGATCGGGACAATACCGTGATCCGCTCCGCAGATCACTGGAAACAACTCGGTAAGCCACTCGAATTGGCATACGTTCTGCGCCCGCCCCGAAAATGACCAGCCGTTGCTGGTGTGACAATCTACTGTTGTCTGCGCGGATTTTAAAATGCTGTAATCTGTTAGTTGTTAGGTGGGTGATGCTTTTGATATATCATATACTACGGATAAGCTTGACTTCTGCATGGCTTGGATTGTAATCGCGCAATATTCCTGTTTTGTGTGTTTTTGTTCTTGTGTTGGTGGAGCTGCAGCATGACGACATCGATCCCCTTGGAGTCCGAATGGTGTGACGCTTACAAATGCGGCGCCGGCATCTGGATGTTGTTTCAAGCAGCTAGCTGAGCGAGAGCGGAAGCAAACCCTGGAGAAAGTGAAGTGTTGTATGTGCTGGTAAGCTTTATTGGGGTGATTGTCTTTGCGGTGGCAGGAGCAAGTTCTGAATGATGTGCATGTGTGGGCGTATGGTATTGTGCGTATGCCGAAGCATATGGCCCATAATCAATGGGGCGCTGGGCGGCGCTGGATGGTGTTGATCTATGAGCTGACACCATTCTTGATCACTACGTTGGCTCGTCAAACACTCTATCGCGAAGGCCATTTACAGCGCGTGATGTGCACGGTGCTCGAGGCGGATGTGTTGTTGTGCTTCATGGAGTTGCGAAGATTGGGAACGGTGCGCGCTGTTTTTAGTGCGTTGGATGACCGGTGCACTATTTGTGTTCATTGCGGGGGAGGCGCTGCGCCCTCCCCCCACACCCCTTCCCGCTCTTTTTCTTTACTAGTCCCAATCGTTCATTTTGACTCATTACAGTCGCTACTTTTGATAACTGTTCTGGTAAGGTCGCTATTTTTGATAACTACTTTGTATTGACATATTTTTTGATGAGTTTTCTATTGCATTATTTGCTTTGTAATGCCTTTCCTATTGAGACCCACACAGACCATGGTCTTTGATTTAGGCAAATGGCCGTGGCTCATCGCCGGGGGAACCTTAGTGGACCACCAGATGAACAGAATAGATTACAAGGGACATGGTATGACATTGTAACTTGAGGGGGTCCGGGCTCTTGACCTTGATTTTCCAGGGGAACGGCTTTGCAAGAGGATTGTTTAAAATTAGAAGGTCATCCAGTCTTTCATTCTCCCTGGCTGCGCGATCTAGTCTCCTCGCGCGATTTTTCGAGGCCTTAGCGAGGGCCGCCCATCTGGAAGATGAGGAGATTATTTTGCAAGTGATGAGACCTTTTAGGAGGTCAAGAGGCTGCTGACCTCAGACTGGGTTCAGTTCGGTTTGTATGTTGATTGGGAAATCATAGAGAGACCCCTCTGGCCCAGACTGGTCCATTTTCCTTAAAAAAGGGGTTGTTGAACTGGTGTCCGGCCTTGTCCAAAGTACCGCTGCACCACCCGTGTCATGTGGGTGATCAGAAGGGAACGGTTTGAACGGGGGTATTGGAAAAATGTCATTGTCACTCCAATCCACGGCCAAATGCCTCAAGCCATTACTCGGGTGATTGGACAAAAGATTACATATCCATTCACCTTGTTCGCTACTAGGCCCAGAATAACTATCTCAGGGGCCAGGAGTGATCGAACTCATTCCTGGCCCCTGACGAAGCACGATAGTGATTCATCACGATTCGATCATCTCGGATTCTGCTGCAGTTGTTGTCATCGTAGAAACCATTCATTAATGTTGGATCTTGATTAGTAAAGGCAACCCCCACCTAAACAATTGGGAGGGCCTCTATAATAAACTACCACCAAAACAAATCTGGATTCCTGGGAGGATTCCTTTTGTAATTGATTGCAGCATTCATTTTCCTTTCTCAGGCGCTTTGTACTTAGATATTTTCAGCAGCCCTTTTCCTCTGCAGCCTCAAATCTTCAGCAGATAGTCGTCCTTAAAAATTACACCGGCAAGGGACCCCAAATAGTGTAAAGAGGAACAGATGGAACATGGCATCACGTGGAAGGAAAGAAGGAGCACACAGATGAAAGCACAAATATGAGAGGAGACGGACAAGAGCACAAATGTGCGAGTGCACAGATGAGAGCAGCAGATGCGGAAGCATGTGAAAGACCAGAGGGACCAGGCGTGAGGTTATAAGGAGGAGAGTGCGACCAACGTAGTGGCAAAAATGCCAGGGAGTACTATGGCTGGAAGGTCGTTGTAAAACAAAAAGCTACGACTGCAGACGCGCATGTTTTCCGCGGTGGTAAGCAGCGAGTGCGTGCGACTCTGATGCGAGGGGCAAATCTGCACGTCCAGCTTCACAAAGTGCTGCACCTGCCACGAGATCTGCACGTCCAGCTTCACAAAGTGCTGCGCCTGCCACGAAATCTGCACATCGAGATT